AAACACGTGACACATGCAGAGAGAGTATGAAGGTATATTTGTGTCTCTATTACGCAAACAAAAAAAAATGTTTTAAAAGCAAATTTCTCGCACTGCAATCAAAAATCAAGTTTGTAAGTGAAAATATATAAACTGAGAATAATTTATTTGTTCGTTTTGCTTATGAAACTAGAATTTTTGGTTAAAAAAATAAAATCTTTGATTAAAAAAATAAAATCTTTGGTTAAAAACAAAACAATCTTTGGTTGAAAAAAAAAGCTGTGATTTCAAAACGAAAAGCTTTGGTTTTGAAACCAAAAGCTGAGTTGGGTGTAGTGGGCGGGGCATACGCTGCTGAATGTACCAGGAGTTTCTATTGGTCGGTTTGACTTGTCTCTCGGTATCTGCATCATCTAAACACAGACGGGAGGTTACGGTGACATGGAGGTAAGTTGACTGCTCTGTTTTGTCAAAATTATTTTAAATATAGCAGCACTTCACTTTGTTCTCATGTTGTTAGTGTCGGGGAGTCTCTTTTTAAGAACGACATGGAGGGTTGCTGTGTTGACATGTAGCCCCCACTGTTTAGATGATGCAGATACCGAGAGACAAGTCAAACCGACCAATAGAAACTCCTGGTACATTCAGCAGCGTATGCCCCGCCCACTACACCCAACTCAGCTTTTGGTTTCAAAACCAAAGCTTTTCGTTTTGAAATCAAAGCTTTTTTTTTCAACCAAAGATTTTATTTTTTTAACCAAAAATTCTAGTTTCATAAGCAAAACTAACAAATAAATTATTCTCAGTTTATATATTTTCACTTAGAAACTTGATTTTTGATTGCAGTGTGAAAAATTTGCTTTTAAAACATTTTTTTTTGTTTGCGTAATAAAGACACAAATATACCTTCATAAGAGAGAGGGGCATGAAATACTGTCGGCTTGTCCCTCTCTCTTTCTCTCTTTCATGTGCTGATGAAGTGAAGCCCTGATGTACGACAGGTGTGGCATCTACACACAAATCTATTTATCCCTTTTAATCACCTTTCAGCTGAACTCAAATTAAGTGGTTTGGATGTGCTTTGAAACTGATGACATGAATGGGCTGTCTCGTCTGTTCATCACAAATGAAGGAATTAAGAAAATTTAAAAAAAGCTGTAACCGATACAATTGAATGCACAATACAGACACAAATACATTGCACCTCCACATATCTAACCACTCTTCCACACAAAGGTATATATTTGGTCCAAGGGTTTGTCATATTGGAACTCACTCTCACAGCCTTCACAAAAAACACAAAACAATATATATTTTTTCGCTAGATTTCCCTAGGTAATGCTTGAAATGACCAAATTGGGCCACAGTCATCTCATTGACAGCTCCCCTTGCAGCCACCCTCTTAATCGGGGCACTCGCTTGAGCCCAGTGAGCACTTAAAGATCAGTTACAGTGCATCCTTAACGGGCACCATGCTCCGCCATTGTGCTACATCACAAGTCGTGGATGAAACTCAATTTGAATTGATCCATTTTAATGTTTCCAAACAGTGAAACAGGTCTACAGATGTGATTTATCAGAGGTACAAGCAGCTGAAATCAGCGCTTTTGCTTAGAGAATCATCATCCACTTCCCTCAGCCGTCTGGAATGTTTAGCATATTTCGGCTAACCCAAGATTCGATTTTCTGGCACGAAAATGTACTGTTTTGGTTCACTCTCATATTATTTCTAGTTGCAGAAGGAAAGGATCTGCCCAGCTCCAAACAGCAGACAAAGTTTGCTGCTACATAGTGCAGCATTAAGCAGCTTAACAGCCAGCCAGATGTGTCTTTCAAGTGCTGGTAGAGACCCAACACAGAGCACATTTATTTTAAAGGAAAACTGCAGCCATAACTAACAACTGTTCAGTAATTTGTACAGTGAGATGGAAGCAGAACATAAAAACGCAAAGGCGAGAGAGAGAGACAGAGAGAGACAGAGACAGAGAGAGAGAACGAGAGAGAGAGAGAGAGAACAGTAACAGAAACCTGCTTTTGCTGGCAAACATCCCTCTTTTGTCGTAACTGAAAAAAACGAACAAGCAGGGCTTAAATTGCGCTGAGTTGACACTCCAATAAAGCAGTGGGACTATTCAAATCCAGCCAGATGTAAGGCAGCATTAAACTTGTCTGAAGAAATGTAAGGGCTAAGTGGGAATTCATAACGATGGTTATGTGAGGTGCAGGAAAGTGTGTATGCTGGGAAGTGTGTGGTGTTCACAGGGTATCTGTGATGGGGGCACGCACAAATATATGCATTCCCATGTGTTGGTGTGTTTATTAATTAATCTTCGGCCTCAAAGGAAATTGGAAGTGCTCGTAAATGTGTTGCGTGTCCGTGCGGCATACCTGTTCAAAATGCGGAAAGGAAGGCTCCCTCCTGTGAAGCTGGAGCTGCTTGTCAATGTTGTCCTTCAGGCACTGACACACACGCCGCTTCTGGTCTGCTGAATAGGTTTCGAGGCTGAGCAGGCAGTCACACTTCTAGAGAGGGGGAGAGAGAGGGAGAGGGAGAGAGAGAGAGAGAGAGAGA